CTGATGTTGGAGTGTAGATACCAGTTTTCTTGGAGTCATGGCCTAAACCAAGATTAGAGTAGTCCCACTTGAACATAACCATTGCACAAATGTGATAGGGCCCAGGAGTAGAGACTTTAGGGAAATGACTGTTGTAATGAACCATTTGGAAGAAAGAAATGCTATTATTTTCTTGGTGAATACATTTTTGAATACCTTCTCTGTGTGTGGTATGGAGGAGGATAGTCTCTTACATTGATAAAATATCAATAAGCTGAAATCATTAGTAATAATAACTTACAGTCATTGGGCATCCACTCTGTACCAAGAACCATCATAAGGGGCATGTTATTAACTCATGTAATATTCACCACAACTCTACAGGATATGCACTAACATTCTCTCCCCCTGCCTGTTTTTTCGATAAATAGTGTAATACTCTAATATTTTCAAGGGCCCTTTCTACATGACATTTTTTGTCGTGGTTTTCAGAGCTACCCAGAGGGATATGCACAATAACTATGAACAACCCCATTTTCCAAATGCAAAGAGGTGAAGCGACTTGCCCAAGATTACAAAACAAGTTAATAATTCATAAAATTAGATGCATGAGTTAAATTTTAATGCTCAAAAGAATCTTAAAGTCCTTGCAACCTGACACCCAAGATTCACGAAGCAGCAGCTGAGGCCCATGCAGATACAGCTGAGGTGTCTGGAACCACAGCTCTTCTGACTCTGTCCTGTGCTGCCTCCTGGAGGATCCAAGGTCCAGCCGAGGCAAGAAGGACTATGTCCATGAAACAGCTGAAAAACAACATAGGAGATGGGAAAACCATTTGAACAGCAAACTGCCCCAGGCAACGAACGTGTCTCACTCTTTGGTGCTTGCTAAAGTATGCTTTTCCTTTCAGACCTTGACAGCCCCCAAAACCTGGTGACCAAGCAGGTGACAGAAAGCACGGCCACTGTCTCCTGGGACCCAGTGCAGGCCGTCATCAACAGGTACCTGGTGCGCTACACCTCTGCTGATGGAGACACCAGAGAGGTGCCAGTGGGGAAGGAGCAGAACAGCACCACCCTGACGGGCCTGAGGCCGGGCGTGGAGTACACGGTCCACGTGTGGGCCCAGAAGGGGGACCGGGAGAGCAGGAAGGCCGACACCATGGCCCTGACAGGTAATGGCACATTGTTCCTTGGGAATGTAAGATTTGTCATGCTAACGACCTGTAGCTGGTCAAGTTTTCTTTTCCTGCTCTGACACTGGCAGAATTGATGATTTATGGAAGAGCAGGATGGTAGATCGCTGTCAAACTACACACACTGTCTCACTGTCACACATTACCTCAAAATAAGCTCATATTTGGCCTCATACTTTGGTCTTAAAATAGTGCTTGGGCCTACCTACCCACTGTTCCTCCAAATGTTTACTTTTCCTTTGTGATCAATCATGAAATATTTCTTCTTGAAAGGGAAAACATAAAGAAACCATATACTTTGGCATCTGTGAATGAAATCCTTTAGGGAAATGGCTTTTGCAGTGATCTGCTTTGGAACAAGGAAGGGTTATTGCTTTCATAGAGGATAAGTCCTCTTCTGTGTACTCTGTGCTCTGTCCTGAGGCCCTAAGGTTATACTTATATACAATAACAGTTCATAATTTTAAAGCTCTTCCATCTCTGCTTTCTCATTTTTGAAGGCCAACTTATTGAGATATTACTTATATATAAAATTCACCCTTTTAAAGTGTATAATTGAGTGGTTTTTGGTTTATTCACAGAATTGTACAGCTATCGCCACTATCTGATTCAGAACATGTTCATCACTCAGAAAGAAACCCCACACCCATTAGCAGACACTCCCCATCTCCCCTTCCTCCAGCCCTAGGCAACCACTACTCTCTGTCTCTACAGATTTCCTTATTCCAGACATTTCATATAAATGGATTCACATAATATGTGGCCTGTTGTAACTCGCTTTGTTCACTAAGCATACTATTTTCAAGTTCATCCATATTGTAGCATATACCAGCACTTTATTTTATTGCTGAATAATATTTCATTGTATGGAGATAACATTTTGTTTACCCATTTGTCAGTTGACACATGTTTGGGTTTCTCATTTCTGGCTATTGTAAATAACATGTACATTTGTGTACAAATTTTTATGTGGATATATGTTTTCAGTTCTTTTGGGTATATAAGTAGGAGAGGAATTGCTGGGTCATATGGTAATTCTGTGTTTAAATTTTAGGGGAACTGCCCAATTGCTCCCAGACAATGCATGAGGGTTATATTCCTCATTTATTGGTCCTCAGAGGGATTTGTTGAAATGGATGGAGCAGAAGTCTGTTTCCCCATTCTGCAGTTGAGAAACCTCAAATACAGGGAAGTGAATGATTCCTACAAGTCACAAAATTAGCTGATGATTCGTAGAGTCAGATTTGTGGAATATTCATGGAATATTAGGTTCCTTAAAATCTATTTAGTAATAGCCACATTTTACAAATGAGGAACTGAGGCCCAGGCAGAGGCACAGGAGTTGCTGAGGGACATAGCTGGCTGACGGCAGAGCTGGGCCAAGTCCCTGGTGGTTGGCTCCAGCCCAAGGCTCTTCCTGCCCCTCTGCTCTGCCTCTTTGGGCTGGAATGAGAGCCTAGCTCTTCAGCTGTGGACCTAGTGCTCATTCTACTGTCCTGTGCTGCCTCCTGGAGCAGCCAAGAGTCCAGCTGAGGCAAGAAGGTCTATGCCCGTGACACAACTGAAAATCAGCACAGGAGACAGAAAAACACTAGGACAGGAAACTGCCTCACCCGGGCAACGTGTTTCACTCTTTGGTGCTTGCTAAAGTAAGCTTTTCCTTTC